CCAGTCTCTGGATCACAAGATACTCCAGAATAGCTAGTATACCTTCGCCCCAAGCCAAGTACCTTTTCCTCTCGGTCTGGTACTTGTCAGCAACCTTGACCTCCGTCAAGTGCGCCCGCTTCCTCCCCCCACGCCGCCCGCGCCAGATCGAGCACCCGCTGCCACGCCAACGTCAGATTTGGCTTCTTTTGCACGGCAAGAAGCCCTTCGTTTTTGGCCACAAGAAACCACTCCATAACGGCCGCGGTTTTTTCCGTGTTCCACGTGAACCGCGGGGTTCGTTTGTTTGGGATCGTGCCGGCCGGGGCACGCTTCCGCTTGGTGCCACCCGGTGCCGCAGGAGCGTCGCCGGTAAACAACGCGAGGGTGGCCTCGTTGGCCTCGTTGGCCGGCCGGGCCGGCAGGGCGAGGGCGGTGGTGGCGAGGGCGGTGGCAGCGAGGGCGGCCTCGTTGGCCTCGTTGGCCGGCCGGGTGTTATGGCCCGGTAGGACCTCCCAAAGATAACGTAGAATTCAAGATGGTGGAGGAATCTAAATGGGCCGCAGGCCCGGCGGGGGCGCTGAGCTAGAAGAGTTGTGGGCGCGCGGGGTTGTCACGTGCCGGGGCACGTGCAGCCCCGCCGCAGCTCCAGGCGAAGCACCGCGCCATAACACCGGGCGAGGGCGGCGAGGATGGCTTCGTTGGCCGACGTAGCCTCGTGTTGGGAAGCCCAAAACGTGGATATTCGTGAGTTCATTTTGACAGTTTCTGACTTTTTTCTGACGATAACATCGAAGGGATCAATCTCGCTGGTGCCTAACCATACAAACTACAGCCAGACAGGCCAGCCCGACCCTTGCCCCCTGTGGCGGGCCAAGAAACGCACAGACGATTCACAAAAAGATACATCGGCCACCCCGGCCATTTTTTGTGCGCCAAAAAGTACCAAATTAACCGCGCTCATGCGTTAACCACGGTTATCTCATGAGCGTGGTTAATTTACGATCAGGCCCTTAGTAGCACAGTGTGGTCGCTTCGGCTGCTGTTTGTCCGGCGCATAATGTGACCCAGCTAGGCCAGATAGCTGGCCCCGTGCGGTCGGTTGAGCGTGAAAACTCTGCGTCTGTTAAGGTTTCTGGTGTTCTGGCTGCAATCGCACTAGCACAAGTAGGGCTGCGGATATTCACGATATTGGCGGATGTAAGACGGACCGCCCCAGCGTACGTGTTTACCCGCCTACCTATAAAGCGAGAGTGCGAGGGTGGGGCCCTCAGGACTCAAGGTAGGATCGGTTAAACAGAGGATTCGAGCTGGCAAAGGTGTACCTGTTTTGCAATCTGCATTCCACTGCCTTTGCAGCCAGCTCGAGTCCTCTGTTTAACCGATCCTACCCTGAGTCCTGAGGGCCCCACCCTCGCACTCTCGCTTTATAGTAGGCAGGTAACACAACAGGGCCGGTGCCGCTGAGCGGCACGGTGCGGTACCACACCCGACACACCACCACCGCTAGCGGTTTCAGCGGGCGTCGAGGCCAGCCCCATGGGCGAGCTCGTCTACGCCAGGTTCGGGTTCGAAAAAGTGGGCAATGACTGGACAGTCAGGGTCGATGGCGAGGATGATGAGCTCACGTTTGTCGTCATGCGGCGGCCGCCGGGAGGTGTCTGACGATCCACCTCATCACTAGGCTACCTTGCCGCGGTCAATTTTATTTGCCCGATGTAGATGAATTCCGAGGTTGCAGACCGCCAAAGTCGACTTGTCGTGCCTAGCGGCGGCCGAAGCCGGCGCGCCAAAATTAACGCACACCAGCTGGGCGTTAGGCAAGACTGTGTCAACTATGGCCGCTGCACACGTCGCATAGGAGCAGGGGTGCCTGGGGTAATGGGGAATCTTTTGGCTATTGTGGTAACCTCGCAACGCGAAAACTCCGGGGAGGATCTTTCACCTTCTTGGGACCCAATGCTCTAGTGACTGGGACATCGCCCGGTATCCAGCTGCAGAAAAAAAGTGGATCGTACATGGAAGCCGGAGATGTGATATGTGGTTGGGCCGCTGCCTGCTTATGCCTCCTGCTGCCTGTTGGCTGCTGCCTGATGGTTGCTGCCTCCTCTCTTGCTTCCTCTGTTGCTTCCTACCTCTTCTCTTTCATTCACTCTTCCTTAACGCCCACACCTTCAGCTCGTTCTCGAGAGAACCTGGCCCTGTAGCAAAAATGCCGACACTCCTTGACCTCCTCACTGCCCCGAACAAGGAGCGGATACCGCGGACGATCCCCGGGCCGAACTCAATACCTAAGTGGTGGCCCACCTGGCCTGGATACTGGATCAATTGGCCCGAGTTCAACTTCGGCAGCATCGTCGGTGCCGGCGCGCGACGGCGTGCGCATGGCGCCCTTCCGGCGTTTCGCAAACGGTGTGGTCTCCATTGGGGCTTGGGGCTCGGGCGGCGTGATGTCCGTCGCCGTCGTCTCGACTCGCCCGCGCTTCCGCCCGCGTCTTTCGGGTCCGAATACGCGTTAGGGACTTTGGCGAGCCAGTAAACAATGCGCTTATGGGGTATGGAGGATTGAGTGCATAAAGCGCTGCTGTTTGTCGTGTGTTCAATTCGAGTTGCTTTGGGCTGGGCAGTTGGAAGCTGTGGTGCTGCGGCTGAGGAAGAGGGGTGATTGATGGGGGGTGCTTTGTTTGGTTCCAAGCCAAAGGCCGGGAGTGGGACGTGCCCATAATTTACGTCGGCATTTCCACCAGCCCCATCAACCTGCATGACAGCAAAACACGTGCTTCCTCAGCTGCCCCAGTCTTCAGATGACGAAAGAGGGCAATAAACAGCAGCTGCGTACGGGAATGCGTGCCGTGGTAGATGTTTGGTGTCATGCTCCGAGGTTCGCATTCCCGGCTGCCTCTTCGAGCTGACGTGTTCCGTAGCGCAGAGGCAATCTTGCAGGAGAGATGGCTGTCCAGATAAGGGCATGTTCATCTGCCCTCCGACCAAAATCTCCCGACTGATTAGCAGCGTAGTGCAACGGGCAGGGCGGCGCGGGCCGATTCGCGATCCACATATATCGTGAAATCTTACTTCCGGTTTACGCAGGTGATGCTATCAAGCTATAGAGGGCCAAGTTACCGAGGTTAGTGCGGTAAACTGCAGGCAGGAGCGAGAGGAGACGTTCGTCATTGGGTTGAGACGCGTCCGCATTGTCGTCGCCGTCGTCATTTGGGAGGCGAATGGAGAATGGAGGCGACTGTGCGTAATTGTTAGCTCGGCTTGCCAGCTATAACGAACGGTACAATAGATAAACACTTGACTCCGTTGTTTTCCACTTCCTCCGTTTTAAGGAACGTTTAAAAGCGTGCGATATCGACGCGTCAAAGCCCGTCAAGGCGCGACGACGAATCGTTATTGTTTCGTTCTGCGCGCAACGCGTGCTGCTGGTCTGCGCGCCGGATTGGACAGGACATGCTGAGACATTTTCGTCAAATTTACCGCTCCTTGCGCCGCTAGGACACGACTTGCGGTGCTGCGACGTGGAAATGATTGGCTGTGGATGTGTTTTGGCAGGAGCCAATGCAGCCTTAAAGGCTTGTGGCATTCAGCTGGCCACAGCCCGCTTCGGCGGAGTCTTCCCTTCTTGGTTCGGAGTGTGCGAGCTAAATCTGCCAGAAATTCATCCGCAAAGCCTGCGCGAGTGCCACACCCCCGGGAACGCCGTTGCACCAATGGATTTGCAGGGCAGTATCGGCTACGTCCGCAGCCCTTCCGATTTGTCTGCCCGCTCTCGTTGCAGCCCAATTCTGCACCCATCACCCCATAATTCTCGTGGCAGCCTGACCATTACACCATGGCTCCGTATTTGGCAGCCCATAAACGGTACAGCCGCCCCACCTGGCTTCCACTCTTCTCCTGACCAGCTCTCCATGCAGCTGAATTGCAGCCTGCAGAAGCAGAGGCAACCAGTCCTCCCGTGATTGCGAAGGACCCACGCGCACAACCAGAGTTCGGTGTTCCAGCCTGACCAAAGCTGCGCCCTCGGGGACTGAACAGAGCCTCCCTGTCTTCCCATCCGACTTCCCGTTCTTCCTGTTATCCCCCCCCCNCTCTCTCNCTCTCTCTCTCT